AATTCCAAATTAATTTAATGAATTTTTTATTCTTTTTGAAATGACTTAAACCACTGTGTACGGGTTAAAAATCAAACAAATAGTATAATTAATAAAAATACAAAGACCAAAACCAAAAGATTTTAGAAAAAAAAAGTAGAATGTTTACAAAATAAAAAGTGATCATTAATTTTAAAAAATGTCACTTATACTTTAATAATCTTAACAAAAATTTAAACAATTAATATAGTATAGCACAACGTTATAATAATTTAGAGATTCATACAATTATTATAATGACCAAACAAAAGCAAAATTAATTATTTTAAAATCGTTAATTATTTAATTCAATATGACATTATTCATCAAATTTGATAAGTTATTATTAAATTCTATATTTATATATGCGCAAAAGCCTTATAATGATTCAATAATTCAAATATTTATCAAAAAAAATACAAAAATTGATAGAATCAAAACTTTGAATCGTTCTTGTTGCCTTTTAATAAATGTTTATTTAAATCACTTAGAAATAAGTAAAATATTTATTCTATTAAATTTCGACACTTTTAAATTATTAAAAAAATGATATAAAGAATTGATCTAATCTATTATTTTCCTATATTCAAATAATTTTAATTTTTAAAAATATTTAAAGGATTGATAAGTTCTTTAGCTGATAATATACATACATGTTAAATATTCAAATACAAGTATTTGAACACTCGTAAAATACTTTCATTTTGGTATTTTTATTCTAAAACACAAAATAATTTATGTTTTTATGTTAAACATTTTTTTATGCATTTCATATAATTTATTATATTTTACCTTTGGATGTTGCTAGTTGATAAAATTATTATATTTATAATATATTAAAAGCTTTAGGACTTTACTATATTATTTATATATTTATAACACTATAAATAACATCATAATTTAATTTTAAAGTTTTATAATATTGAAAAAACATTTATTTAACATCATTCATTCCTTTAGTCTAATTATAATTATTTGTTTATGTTACGTGGGGTATATAAGTAATTAAATAATAAATGTCTAATTATTTAGAATATTTACAGATATATCCGACGCTTCAGCTTTGTGCTGATGTTTGGAACTCTTTGCAGAGTTCATCTTCGGAATGATAGCACAGATTATATGAAAATATAGTCATATATTAATTATAATTAAATAATTATTTACCTATAATAAAACATACATTTACATTATTTAGATTTTCATCAGTGGTGATAGTTACAGGCCTGAGGTGATAACTATACTGAATCCTATCTAGTTTTTTATTTATTTTTAAACCGGTAATCGGTTGATAACCGTTAACATCAACATTATTTTTATTTTTTTGTTATTAGTGTTATTGTTGTGTTATTATTGATAACGATTGTCTACTTGTTATTGATGTGGTTTTTGTTTCTTTTATGACATTCTGGACTTTTATTTTATGCTTTCTTTGCTGTACCGTCATTTTTCATACATGTCGAATATGGCGTTTTCTCATATTATGTGGATTTCTTTATTATTTGGTCTTCTTTTTTCCTATTATAATAATTATACCAATTATTGGAAACCAAGTCTTATTAATTTCCATACCAACCGTCTTCTCCGCTATAATTTTCTAAACTAACTTGAACTTTTGTATTCAATGTTATTGTCGTTTTCGGCTATTACTAATTTTTGTACATATACTTGCTTACATCTTTTTCATGTCTTTAATTATTTCGTAATTGCTCTTTCTGTTTGTCTAATATATGAATTTTACCAAATGAATGCGGTCTTTGCATTTCCGGTAATTCATCTTTCAAACTCCAAGTAGTGTTTCTATAACTGTATTCGGTTCATATTTTGAATTTAATAGTATTTTTTGAGATACGGTCCGTATTTCCTTCAATGTACAGCAATATTAATGTTCCTTTTTTATCGTATTCTTCATAATATATATTTTTTTTCGGCTTTTCTTAATGTTATATTTTTAATTTTGTACCCATTATTACTCCTTCGTGATGTGCAGTGTTACATTTACTGGCTCTATTAACAATTAAAAGACTACGTCAAAACTGATGAGAATTCCTATAATATATAAATTTCACTGATTAAAAAGAAGACATTCCCGTCATAGAGACATATATCTGTAAATATTTCAAATAATACAACAGTCCATAAAATCTTTAACATATCGATAATTTCTAGTTTTACTTATATTGAATTATTTTTAAATTAAAAAAAAGATATTATTCTGCAAAATAATTTGACCCGTTCCCGCCCATGATTCAATTTCAGTGGTTATTTACGGGAAGGGTCTAAAAATTTGGAAAATCTCCTATTAACCTTAAATCATGGTAACGAGAGTTGTGAAGATCCGAAGCTCCCAATCAATACGTTCTGAAAATTACCTCCCTCAATACGAATCTCTAAAATATCCACTGTTCTATTTGAATAGCTTTAGTTGTAAGATGCAAGTAAAATATCAAAGGAATTTATTATCACATTTGTTATATATAATTTAATGCTGATTAACAAATGATAGCGTTGAAATAGCACGTTTGGTAGTTTTTAGTAATAGTTGTTTTAAAGATTAAATTATTGTGTAAAGTATTAAGAAGAATTTATAAATTTAATAGGAGCGGAGCCTTCCGAAAAACAAAAAGATTATTGTATAAGATAATACTCTAAATTTTTGTATTAGTATTTGAATAATTTTTTAAGTACGTATTCGGAAAACAAACATTAAGTATTCCTAAAATGTAATACATTACATACCATCGTTATAACACGTCTTGCTGTGCTCAATTGTATCTTGTTGTTTTATAAGTTTTGTAGTAAATAAAACGAAGTTTAAATTGTTTAAGGGGCGTTAAACGAGGCACACGCCTACATATTCTACTTGTGACATCAGAATAAACTTGCACTCCCATTTTTCTGTTACAGCAAAGAATTAGAGCCATTTTAATAGACGCACATTAAAGTATGTTAAAGTTTAACACATTAAAGTTAACGTGGAACACATGAAAACATGCCTTTAAGATTTTCAATTAAAATAATTATTTAACGTTCAATCTCAAAGAACATCAACTAAGTACATCTTAGTTCATTCAAAACAAAATGATTACTTTTTAGATTAGATGATGAAAAGCTTTTAAAATTTCGAAGATTGACTTTTTTGATCCACCACAATCTTTATACAGGGTACTAGTCTTTTGTTAATGCATATATGTTATTTTATTATTATAATTAAAAAAAAACGTGTCTAATTAAAACTTTTTTTAGTTTAACTATAAAAAAAAATCACCTGATCAACTTTTAGCAAAATAAATATTATAATTCAATTGAATATATAATAATAAATTATTCACACATTTATTTTTCTAATGATGGATAAATGATATGACATGTAAAAACTGTACAAGTACAGTTGGGCTAACTGAATTTATAGTTAATACAAGACAAAATAACTTAAAAGCTTGAAAAACTAAATCATATATATGTATACACGATTTAGTTGGAAATTCAACCATAGTAGAACCAGCTATAAAAAAGTCAGCACACTGAAGTCGTGGCATAGTTTGGACAAGTATAAATGATATCTGACAGTGATTAACATCACTAAAATAAAAGACGCTTCGATGGGAATGTATTACATTTCACAATAATTTGTATATTTCTACTTTTTTCAACAAACGCAGGAAAATTTTTAAAAAATATTGTAATACACTTCAAGTGTTCTAATTTGGTGTATGTTTAAATAAAGTAGTCGTTCCAAGATATTTTTAAAAATACAATTGTCAAAAAAAAAAAATGTTGACATGCGTGTCTGGTCTTTTTCAAACCTTTCCTTTGAACTTTCATAAAATCATACAAAAAAAAGTATATTATCTTTTTCTTATACCCTACTCAAATTCAAAATCAGTCTTTTTGAAAGAAAATTACATTAACAGTTTTAAAATACAGACAATTTTTTCGAAAATACCATTTTTTATAGTAGTGTAATTTTAAGATATTTTTTTAATTTTCTAAAACTGATATATTAAATTCGTGTTCTTTTGATGCATAAATCAACAAAATCGGTCCAGTACGAGTTGATAATTTTAACGGACAGACACATACAAAAAAAAAAACATCATAGTAAAACCAAAACCTTCTCAGCTTCGCTCCGCTAATCTAACAGTTATATTATAATATCTAATAGCTAACTAAATTTATACTTACTGAACACTCTATATACTATACATTTTATTGCTATATGATCAATGAAATATTTGTTTGGTGTACAAAAAATATTTATGTAGAAATAAAATTATATTTGTAATGTAATAAAAATTATCATCCAGTTTAATTATTAAACACAAGGAGTATGTAAAGACGTTTTAGTTTGATAAAATATTTAGTAACAAATATTATTAGTATTTTTCAATGAAAAAATCGCCGAGTAGTTAAAATTCCATTACTTTCTTATATGATTGAAAATATCCAATAAAAATATAGTTTCTCCAATCAAGGACATATATGAAACATGGAGTATCCAATAAGTAAAAATAAAATAATTTAACAACTGTTGCGTCCCAGACCAAACCATTTATTACCATTTTTTAGTAATAACTAAACAAATCTAGTCTAAGTAGATGATAATTTAAGGAAGTACTTGAATGTTTTGGACGTCGATAATCTTAAAAATGTATAAATAATTATTTATGTTTAAAATTGGTGATAGTTTTCAAATACCATTTGGTATAATTTTTCTTTCTAAATTTGCCTTTATTACATTCAATTGTTGTTCAATTTTGTAACTTTCGTAAAATAAACAATGTATAATCAATATTTTCAAAAAAAAAACTTTTATTTAAAAGTATCATAAGTGCTTAGAGTCTAATTATTATTTTCAATGCTTTTCATATAAATTGATTTTCTAATGCTTATATATTTTTATATCTAAAATTGATTTAAAAGAAATATTATACGTTGATCAGTTATAATGAAATTTAATAATACCACTTTTTGGTGATTACAATAGATTTTTATTTTATGTCTACACTTACATAGCAAATAAGTAAATAATATTATCTTAGTGTAATAATAGAATAAATAAAATAATAAATAATAGTAATAACATGAAACAATTAAATTGTTAATTACAAACATTGTGAGCTAAATAACGGGTAACAATAATTTTTACAAATTACAATAAAAAAAACAAACTCATAATATCAATACTTAAATTGTGCCAAAATATCAAATAACATGTTCTATATATGAACAGTGGACACACTTGTATATATAATATATAATATATATACTAATAATATAATATATTATATTATATACTTAGTATATATTATATATATATACTAATTTATAAGTACTACTCATGTCTACGGTTTTATTTATTAATATTTGTTTCACAAGTCATCATCGAGTTCAGATGGTAAAATACATTTTTTATAATAATCATTTGTTAATCGCGCGTTTTACATAATTAAAATGTTATCGTTCGATTTCGGACCATTTAATTTTTAAACAAACAGCCGAGCAATATGATTACGAAAGAGGGACGTTTTAATCTATTTATCGGACCCCATTACAAAATTAAATCCTATCCGCTACCCTCGTTCGGCGTGTGTACGGTTAATTATAGTTCGGATATGATTTGTTAGAACATTTGTCATCACTACACGTTCACCAATGCAGCTCCAATAGAAATGCCCTTGTTTTTAGCATCAAGAGTGCCCGAACGAGGATCACGTGCAAAAAAATATGAAAGATAAAACTAGATTTTTTATTGTCACATAGATCTTGTGACGAGCACAAAACTGTTATCAAAACTATTCTAAGTATTTGATAGTGCGATTAGATTTAATTTACGCGAGAAAAATGTTTTTATTCACTTTGTAAGAAGTCTATTGACAAATAATAAGATCAAAACTGTTAAAACTATGATCTATGTGCGTTAAAAAACGATTTCCTTGATTCAATGTATGATAACATGCAATTAAATGCATTATTTTTTTTAAATATACTAATAAAACTATTACATAATAATAATAATATATATATATATACTCTATAAAGATGTCTTGACTAGATATGATGATGATGAAGATTATGATGATCCTCACGGTACGAGTGACGTCTTCTACCCGCAGTTGCCTTGCGTCATTTGGCCCCATGTTGAGGTTCGTCTTCATCGTCTAGGCGATCGCCCTCCTTGTCTTGATGAGCAGTCATGTGCCTGGTCAAATGGTGTCTTTCTCGGAAGCTCTCGTCGCACACCGGACATCGAAGTTTGTCCATGTCACGGCGTTTTTTAGTGTCTGTCATGCCAACGCTGTTACTACTGCCGGCTCCTGACCCGTCGCTTTTATGGTGTGATCGCATATGATACACCAAGTCAGAGGTCATACGGAAGCTCACATTGCATTTGGCACACACATTTTGCGACGGTAACGTTAGAGCAGCTGCTGCGATTGATGCGGGTAATAACATGGCCGGCAAAGCTGCGGCGGGAGCAAATTGCAAAGGGGCTGGAGACGGTGGATAGCTGTCTTTGGGATGTGGCCGTGGTGGTAACATCATGAACGGTGGTGCTCGGAAGCCCATTGAAAACGGCGTCATGAAATGTGACTGAGGCGGTAACGGTGGACTCAAACTATCTTGATGGTAGCCGAGTTCTGGCGGAGGAGTAATTATTGGCGGAGACGACGACGACGACGTAGGTGACAGAGCTCCCAAGTCTGGAGACACTACTTTGGTGAAAGCAGAACGAACGTGTGATCCAGTAACTGTGGCAGCCGCTTGCACGGACCGCGATCGACGTTTGCTAAGATCGTCAGGTGCCATCAAAAAAGCCACATCAAAACTACGTTTTTGGGGTCTTTGAAGTGGCAAAGATGTGACCATTTCAGTTGGCGAGTATGAAGGCGATGACGCTACGGTCCGATGGATGTCCATAGTCATCCTGAATGGATTAAAATCTGAGAAAAATAAACGTTTCATTAATTTATCATATTCGATTTGTTATATAAAAGAAAATTCACTATAATATTGAAAAATATTGTAATCAAACGAATCGCATTTGATGTAAAAGCAATTGGCATTTTTTTTTTTTTTTGCTGATAAAATACTTTTTGTGAATATCGAAATTTATCGTAGGAAACATTTTAAAATAACAATTATAAAACATAGTTGTTTTCCTCGTGTTTTGATTTAGTTATCAAATTAATTTCAATCAACCAAACTCGTATCTCTTTGTATATTTACTCTACGGCTTTAATACTTCAAGGTGACTATTACGCCAATTTTCTAAAAATTTATGCTTCTAATTTATTGATATTTATGAACAATTTTGTTACGGTTAAATTACCAATTATGAGTACAAATTGTTTTTATTTACTCAAATATCGAGCTTAAAAAAATGATTATTTTTTCTTTTAGATCATTATGCAGATAAAAAAATGTCCGTACTTTATTGTTAGTCATCTTAATGTTCCATTATATTTTTAAACGCAACCTTAACAATAAAACAATCAGGCAAACTTGTATTCGTTTATTCATTAGTTTAGATAGTGAAAAAGTTGTGGACTTTTAATTAGAAAACTAGCCGACAGTATAGTTTAGTAGCTGTAATTAAAAAAATTTTAACAACTACTTTTACAACAACTCGTACACGCTTTTTTAATTGTTTTAGGCTATTAACTTTAACGTCGGTAAGATTTATGGACTTTGTCGTTTCATAGTAATTTTAAAACTTACAATAATGATAACGCAAAGGATTTAAACAACAAATAATATTTCATTTTAACTGCAGCTCTTTACTGAATTCAATCGAAAGAAAATAGTTATTTTTTCTGGCGCTCGTGAAGTAAACATTACCGTAAATGACCTAGTATGGCTTATAGAATTTTAACGTCATAATAAATAACGTTCGAATAGGAAAACAATGAATAAATCCATTAAATTCGCTTTGTAATGTTGAAAAAAATTCATATTGAAAGCCTTTGGCCTCCGTACAGAACACAGTACGCTGAGCACTTAGAAACTGGCCACCTGTTGATATACGATACCATATCAGCTATTAGTCGGATAAGTATTATTGTTCACTATGAAATTATTCAATTCTTTTCGCACAATCTAAATCTCTAGCAAATATTTCACTATAAAACACGTCACACGCGTCATGATCATATTCTAAATTCAAATTTTTGTTTAAATTCTCTGTTTCTTTTATAGTGAAAATTTCTTTAATTTTCACGTAACTGATAGATAATGTTATGAAAGAATAAATTATTCGTTGGATGAACAAAGTTTAATTAAAAGATTTTAACTTTCAGTTAAAAAATGAATTATAAATAATAAAGTTTTATCACTCGTTTAGAGGCTCTTTATTACTACGTGCTAATGATACACGTAAAATGAACGGTTAAATCTGAAATCACTTTGGTGTACATCAGTGTGTGATAATACAACAGGTGTAGTGGTGGAAGGCGAGAGAAATACATGAAAATTAACATTCTAAAGTGATAATCAGTAACATTCAGTTCGCCATGAACGCGCTGTCATTCCAACAAGCCAGGTAACCTACATTAGTTAATATTTCCTGTGTGCAAGATGTATGTATTTTTTAAAATTAAAATGTGTTTTATAGTGATGGGCAACCGTCATTTTGGAGACAACGCCGAAACCTGGTCGGGTTTCTGGCGTTCTTGGCGTTTTTCAACATTTACACACTTCGAGTGAATCTCAGTGTTGCTATTGTAGCCATGGCATCGTCTACTGAAGATCACGTGAGTTTTTTTAATTGGCAATTGCATATTTAGTGTTCCGTTATCATTAAAAACATATTGGTGATTTTTTCTTTTGACGTATCAATAGTGTTGCGAGTGTACCGTTTGTTCGTGCCGTAGGAAATGAAAGTAAAAATGTGCAGAATGGTTTCTTTTCTGTTACCGACACCACAACAAAATAACGAGCACTGTAGTTACTGCGTTAACAACGTGGTGAACCTCAATAATATCTATCGTTTGAAATTACCCATGAGTATTATTACTATCGACTCAGTTTTAAATGCAATTTAAAAAACAATTTAGTTAAAAATGTTGTCGATTTTCATAATTGTATTAATTACACTTTCATAGCCGATTGGTATTTTCAAACAATTAATGTGAAATATTAGAACATAAACAAATTGCTTGTAGTCATAACATTATTAAAATGTCAATTACAGAAGAGCGAATTCGATTGGGGACCAGAACTACGGGGAGCAGTACTCAGTTCATTTTTTTATGGGTATATTACCACCCAACTTATTGGCGGCCTATTGGCATCCAAATTTGGAGGTGTCAGAATGATAGGATATGGAATTTTAAACACAGCGTTTCTCACCATAATTACACCGATGGCGGCCAGGTATTCGGTATTCGCCGTTCTCGTTCTAAGGGTCATTGAAGGATTTTTTGAGGTAGAAACTTCAACTAATCGTACACCCAAAACATTTTCTAAATATAATATAAAAATATTAGGGCGTTACATATCCGAGTATACATGCTGTATGGTCCAGATGGGCTCCTCCGGAAGAACGCACACGTTTAGGATCATTTGCTTTTTCTGGAAGCTTCGTGGGTACCGTTATTGGATATCCTGCTTGCGGTTGGCTTGCTGAGCACTATGGATGGCCAGCCACTTTTTACGTACCAGGTAAATTATGTACACAATGATTCTCTTATCGTGAACCAATTAATTAATACAAACAATACAAATAATTATTTTATTGATTTATTGATTTCTTTGAGTTCCAAATTGTTTTTCTCAATTTATCAATCATTAAGTATTTTTTATGACATCTCTTACACCTTATATGATGGGTGTCAACTTTAATTTTTCACAGAAAAATACATAATTAACTAGTTTAATTATTAAGTAATAACCTAAGTAAGAAAATGACTGATCGATAACAATTTTTGGACCATTATTTCGGAAGTAATTGATATGTTTATACCTGTGGAAGAGCACAGGATTGGAAATGTCTAGTTATAAAAATAGCAGTGACCAATTTTCAACACTTGTCATTACTTTGTAACGTTAATAACTTTTGAAATAGTAATAATAAAAAATATTTCATTAAAAAGAACAATAAACAAAAAGAAACCAATAAAAAATTATCAATATTGTTCTTATTTTTTGATTACTTAAGAGGTTCGTGATAAGCATAATTTGAATTATAATATAAGAAGTACAGTAAATTGAACAACTTATACAATTTTTATTTCTAATAGGCATAGTTGCTATCATATGGTGTGCTGTGTGGTTAACTACAGTAGCTGAAACTCCAGCTCAAGATCGGTTTATAAGTGCAGAAGAGTGCAAGTACATAGAAGACTCAATTGGACCTGTCGACCAAAAACATTGTATGACGTGGACTATGATAATTAAAATTTAAAAAATACTCTATCTGTACAAAGTGATTATCCTTTCGCTAGCCACTCGATTTCGTTTAAAATAATAGTCATGTTAAGAAAATTATTTTTGATATTTTAGATATATTTCTCGATTTAGCAGTTATTAGTAACGTTTTTTAATTCACCCCTTATAACTGTGTCAGCTTAATTTTCTAAAATGGCAACATACATATTTAACTAGTTATAAAACAGAAAATTATCTAATTATTAAAATGACGGGTCGATAACAATTTGTGGGCCAGTACTTGAAAACTTATTAACATTTTAATACATAGGCGGGAGGAAAGGTGTGGCCAAGAAATGTCTAATGACAAATATCCGCACCTCATCTCCAGTCTTTATTTTAAAATGGTTATAACTTCTAAAATAATTCGTCAAAAGTTGTTATCGGCCTGTAATTTTCATAATTAGATTATTTCCCATTTTATAAGGTAGTTAAATATGTAGGATCTCGTTTAAAAAAATAAAGATGACACCCTAATAAAGTATAAAAGATAATGTAAAAAAATAACTAATAACTGATAAATCGTGAGATACATAAAACTTAAAAATATACAAAAAAATTTCCTTTACATAATTATTATTTTAAGAAAAATCGTATGGCTAGTGCTAATAGAATCACCTTGTACATTAATTTATTTACAATTAGTTAAAATCTTGTTTTTTAGCCGATTTCAAAAACTATCCATGGAAAAGTATATTGACATCAATGCCATTTTGGGCAATAGTTAGTGCACATTTCTGCGAAAACTGGGGATTTTACACGCTACTTACTCAGTTGCCTAGTTTTATGAATGGTAATAATGTGTAAAAAAACACTCTTAGAATTTAAATATATAACCTTGTCGTTTTATTCAGATGTTCTGAAATTTGACCTGAGCAAAGCAAGTTTTTTGTCAGCCTTGCCATACTTAGTTATGGCTGTCACCCTGCAGGTGGCTGGCTTTTTCGTCGACTGGCTAAGAAAGAAAAAAATTCTCACCACCACTCAAGTAATAACCTTACAATAATAACTATATTGACACATCTTAAACATAATTTTACTTTCAAGGCGAGGAAAGTATTTAACTGTAGTGCTTTCCTCAGTCAAACTGTTTTCATGACACTGGCGGCCAAATCTACAACAGCATTCATGTCAGTCACATGCTTAACCTTAGCTGTCGGTCTAGGAGCATTTGCATGGGCCGCATTTAGGTAATGAATAAATACTACTTTACATCTTCCTGTTTTCAATAGACATTTTTCTATAGTGTCAACCATCTGGACGTAGCGCCGCAATACGCTAGCGTTCTAATGGGTCTATCCAATACCTTTGCTACTATACCCGGTATTGTTAGCCCCATGTTGGCCGGAATCATAGTTAAACACAAGGTAAAATTTGAACACAACAATGTAACTAGATTAATTAATCAAACATAGCATTTTTTTATTAGAGTGCCGAGGAGTGGCAATGGGTATTTTTAATAGCCAGCGGTATGTATTTATTCGGTGCTATTTTCTACGGAGTGTTTGCTTCGGGAGAATTACAACAATGGGCTCAAACAGAACAGACTAACGACGTCAAAGAAAAACAGGGCACAGCAAACAAGGCTTTTAAATCGGTCGAGTAAGACTTTTGTCGAGATGGCAACAATGCAAATAAAGACACCGCAAGATTACCAAGGGATTAATATTGATACGTCCAATTAAGGGCCATTTTCAAATTTCATGTATTAATGTTTCTGTAAGGCTTGGAATGTAAATAATATTTCACACTTTATAAGTGTCGCATGATGTTAAACTATAGCGGTTGAACGTTTTTTAACCGCTCGTGGACTTATTTGTATAATAATTAAAAATATCTTAAATCATTTATGAAGTATTTTAAATAGTATCCCTACCTGTATTCATCCACAAAACTGACGAATTCAAACAGTGACGAACGGAACAGCCGACAGGAACAATGACGGCAGTGCACTTGTGTCCGTTGACAACGCCGGCGATACACTCATGCACCGTCCCTGTAACGATGGTGCACGTGCTGCTCGGGAAGGACACGTATAATATGTATTTTGCCTGAAGTAGGCGGGGTTATTTTTTAGGACAGAACCAACCAGCTGGCGTCACTTGTATCCTTCGCGCATATGCCCTGTACCACTGCCGCCTACCTCACTACCATACCATGGCATACCGTTCTTGTTTGCTGCATAACGCTTTACAATATTCACATATACTTGTTTAGAACAATTCATTATTTCTTTTTTTTGTCTGTCCCATTTTTTATCCCTGACCACTAGGGAATATATGGTACGGCTAAAGAGTAAGAGCATGCCAGGAGAAGGCTTAATTAAAAAACAATAAAAAGTCTAAACGTGCGTGTGGTCGAAAAGTCGAGTGGCCTTATGGTGTACGTTTCTGGACCGAGGGGATCCGACTCCAAAGCTCGATGAATTTATTTCACTACACTTATGTCCCTCGTCTCGGTTTCATTGCCATAAGTGCACAACCATTACCGCAAAATAAAGTGGATCCTGTGATATTGTATTATGATATGTTACTGTATCATATTATGTAAATTATTTTGAGTAATTCATAAAACGTCCTGTGACAATTAAACTACACAAAAAATAAGTCAACAATTAAACTGATTCTGGGAAAATGTATTATGAACCCTCTGAAAATATTATGATTAAATGTTCCTAATAAATATTAGTAACATCTTTTGTATTTCAAACTTAAAAATGAATTCAAAGAAACGGTCGAAATTAAAAAAGAAACTAATGAAACTACCTAAAATACATTCACGTAAAATGTGACGTGGCCCGAAAAATAAAAAAACGCATCTGAACTAATGTGTGCATCAGGTCAATGAAAGATAAACTTACATTTTTATTATCCATCAATAGACGTACAACGTATAGCAGAATAATGCTTTATTTTAATCAATTTTATAAATGACTAAAACTTAATTCTAAGTAACATGAATTTAAGATAAACATTTACTATTAATAATCTTAATTAATACAAAATTGAAGGCGTTGATCAAGTGTATAGCAAGTATTTCACATACTATAAACAGCTGTCTTTTACAGTTATATAAATTAAACTTGTTAATGAAAACTAATAATGTGGCACACGTTATAATTACATTTTAGTTTAGACTTACAAATCTAAAACATCGACATATTAAGTTCTTTTGCAAAAAACTTATAAATTTAAAAATATTGTCATATATTTATTTGATATTTTTGGAAAAATAATACAAATGACGATTTTTTTTAAATAATATTCTAAAGCAATTTATATGACATAATTAACAGTTTTTATAAAAAGATCAAATAACCCAAAAAAATGTTCTAACTAATAGTTTCAGTAATTCCATGCCACTTCAATGTATTTGTCCCTACAGCATTTGCAATAATAAGGAATTAAGGTAAATTATGTCATGTAGTGTATGATTTATTGGAAAATATATTTTTTTTAATGTTATACAATTGTTAAATATTCCAAAAATGATTTAATATAATATATAATTATTTATTATATCCAAAAAAATAAATTCTGTATATGGTATTATCTTAGTTATAATTTTTTTTATAATATAACTAAAAATCCAACACAAAAATGTTTGTAGATTAAAAAGCAAACGCGAAAACATGTAAGAAAATGAAACAAACCACACAGATAAAAAAAAAACACTTTTGATGTCATTATTATTCGAGTTTCCGTCACTTCTATGCCCGAGCAATAAAAGAAAAACACATATATAATTGTATACTTTGCTATATTCAACTACTTTTATGAAAAAAAAAACATTTAATGCAAAAGAAAAGCGAATATTTTGTATGAAGGCGGAGATCGAAGAAGGGACGATGGAAAAAAAGTATTCGCAAGACCTGCGAAGAGATAAATGCCTTGTGGAAGTCGTTAAAGAATAATGTTCTCCGGGTCGGCGTTGTGGGAGACGGAAAGTCATTGCGGCAATATGACCCCCTCGACGATTTTTCATATCCTTTTATATTCAAATAATATATATTCGGCTATAAATATGGCTGTTTAACAGTAAAAAATGATAATTCTTCGGTCGGTTCTCCACGCGCCCCACCGCAAGGTTTTTTGAGTCGTCTAAAAATTCGTATTTTTATTGTTCCGACGTCTCCAAGAGTTTTTTTTTTCTAAGCGCACGCGTTTGTTAACACAAAATTTCTTTTCTCTTATTTTCTTTTATTTGATTTTTCTTTCCGTTGTTTATATTATTTTATACTGTTTTTCTCGAAAACGCATACATAAATTATTATTACAACAACACGGGCTTATATGTATCGAGATTTATTACCACACATTATTATTATGAACGTACGCAAAACGTCTACGATCGCGTTTAATTTTTTTCAAAAGTTCTTTTCTTATATTCTTATTTATTCAGATTTTTATATTGCGGCAACAACCGCAGGCCTTCAGATTATTTTATGGCATTTTTTTATATCAAAACATATATATATATATATATATATATTGTGTACGCAATGTAGTAGTTAATGTAGACACAATTCTTATGTACTATGTGACATAAAAGCGCAAAATTGTTTCATACCCCTTTTTTTTTTTTTTTTTTCTTGTAACGCAGTGGACTGATTTGTTTATTCTTTAGAATTTCATTAATTTCTACTTAAATCATAAAATCCTTACTAAAATTTATTGATATTTGTTTTATTTGAGACTATTAATGATTTAAATTATATCACAGGGTTTTTTTTTTTTTTTGGTTAAAATAACAGTTTTAATTGAACCCTTCTAATACAATATGTAGATTTATTATAAGGTTGGATACACAATGTGTAAAACAATCCAGATGACCCTCTCATTCTTGTTTTATTCAATAACAACATCCCCTCGTCGAGCATCTGTTCGTAATTTTCGAAAAAGAATTCTTTTGATTAGAAATTGCATAAGTGTTCATAGATAATAGTTTCAAATGGTTGTAATGTTACCCAACCAAATCTGTATTTAAGACTATACCTACTGTTTTCAATTACTAAAAATTACAAATCCAATAGAAAAGCACCGCAATAATATACTTAATCATCGTGGGATTTAGTTTCAAGTGCATAAATCTCAAATCTTTCATATAAAATATTCATTAGAAACAAACGCCATAAAATTGTAATTTCAAAGTAATTTTTTTTTTTTTATGTATAAATGAAATATAAAATAATGTAGTTTTTACTGATAATTAATTTGGCGAATTTAATTAATATTACTATATTTTACAAATTTAAATTGATTTTTTGTTTTTCGTTGTCAATGGAAATATTTTTTATCATTTTATTTAGTGCCCTGAAATTAAGTCGAGACAAGTAGTTACCATGTTAATCTTATTTAAGACATCTAGAGCTGAGACACCAAAGTGACAAAATATTCATTCCGAGATAATTGAATTAAAATATTGAGGAATATTATTTTTCTATACAGCTGTTATAGATAATCGATGATAGATGAAACTGTATTTAAAAAAAATTACCAAGATTTTTATTCTGCTCCAAAAAAATGATTATTTTACTTTCTAGATTTGAAGTTATCTCATTTTTTTTCTCCATAATATCGCTTTGATGTCTAGGTACCTCATTTACGATGAGTGTATCTTTTAACTTTATTTATATTTGATATTCAATTATTAATTAATAATAATTATAGAATAACGAATTAATTAAATGGATATTATTCGAAGATGTTTGCTTCTCAATTACTTTATACGGGTGCACTCTTTATATCTTCGACGTTTGCTTTATACTTAAAAAATTGTTTTTAAGTGTACATTAAACAAAATAGTAACAAGCAATTAGTATGTAAAATCAGTGAGGTGAACCGAAACTGTCGACTATTTCGTAAAACGGTGTGACGTGAAAAGTTTACTCAGAGAAACTTCTTTCATTGCTGTCGGGAACGCCTTAAGCTTCTTTCACTGTGATAGGCTTAACGACGAGACACGTAATCCAACGTTTAGTATCGTCTTTTTTCATTCTTTCTATTCTTCTCCGTATTTCCCGAGGTGTGTGACAAAAGAGGAATTAAGCATCCGGAAAAGTGTTTAGTGGCAAATTTGTTAGCGCGGTCAGAGATACGTGTAAAGAATAACTCTTCTATTATTATCTCATTGACCAGCCGGTTACCGATCACTTTCGTATTCCATTCGGCTCCAAGAATTACATTATAGGAATCCCTCAAAATAAGTTAACTGGACATTTCTGTCACATAGTGTACATTGATAAATCAGCCTACACTATCACCTACATTTCATGCCGAGCGCATTTCTAAGAGAATATATTTGGTAAAATGTGAATCCGGTTAATATCACCTTAGTTACTCAGATTTCTCAGACTTCTATAATGTTTTCCTTTACAATCATTCAATTTTACTCGCTTGTTTACTACTATCGCTCAATAATTAATATACGTAACTGATAAATATCCGAAAGTTTAGATTAATGTAATTTGAATATGATCGCAAAAAAATGAAATAGAATGTCATTTATTCTTAAACAATTTATATCATTGTGTGGTTTATTGTATCCGATTTAAATCGTTTAGGCTTATCGGTTATCTGCGCGGGTTGGTTTTTTATGTACAAATAAAAATTACTTTTTTAGATTCAGACGTCCGATAGACGATCGCATTTAAATTTAAAAACTGTGGCTCCCGTGCGTCATCCGCGATTTATGCGCATTTTTTATTTTGAGTATTTTGTCCACGACAAGGGTGTGATAGAGGGTGTCCAGCTTTGAGCAATTATTGAAGATTAGTTTTTTTGTCGTCACGCTCTAGGGTTGCATCAACTGATAACCACAAACAAAAAAATTTATTCACACATATATACACATGGTAAACCGATTTACGAATGAACTACTGTCCTCTGTGGTTCGCATCCATAAATAATCATTTTGAACATATATCTTTCTATGATTTTATCTACGAGTACGTTTCTATTAAAAGTATAAAAAAATATTTCAAACATCAATTTTATAGGCTTTGTTGACTTCAAATAAGATAGTGGTGTATATTTTTATTTAACTCGGTATTTATATTTTTGTGTTGGACAGTTTTTAAATAAAATAATTAACATTATATTTGAGTTATTTGAAAATAAATCGTTTTCATAAAAAAAGTAATCATGAACTATTATAAAGGACAATAAATCGATGTTCATTGCATTGAAAAATATTTTTAAAAATTAGTATTAATAATATGATCTTGCAAACACCCTTCGAACGACAAAAATCAATCATGATAGTCTCTTTAGATTTGCAAGTTGTAATTTCGGCGGTCGAACAAAACGTTATGACGTTACGGTCGATAAATAATAACGTAATATATTCATTTCAAATGTAACTGTTCATTGTTATTTGTTCGAGTGGTTAGAAAGAGAGAAAAAAATACTATTAATAATAAAGAGGGAAAAATAACTTTTATTTTATTCATGTATACGTACACGCCCATGCCCTTCTGGTGCGGTTAACAATGCTCATCGGCAAAGACAAAAAAGTGACGTTTTCCGTAATAAACGCATTTGGACCTTTCTCCTTGGACCAAATAAGGAAAATGAATGGAAGGGGTGGCTAAGGGTAACAGGCGCAAGGGATTCGTTGATTACGATTCTATTAGCAGGATTTTGTACGTCTCCCGTGGTGCCTGCACAACCGTCCAACATAGGGACGATGAATTCATTTTTTTCAGTGAGGGTTCTTCAATTGAAAATGTCGTTTGTATACAAATTTGTAGTTTGGTTGTTTCGTTCGTCTGATAGTATTTGGTTTTCTACAATTATTGCTTTTATTAACAGCTGTTAATATAAGATGATTCGCCAAATAAATGACACATCTTATCAAATTGTTTTGTTCTATGGATGTACTAGTAGCTTAGACTTAGAAGCTTAGGTTATAATGCAAAACCTACATTGATCTACATAAATTCAGTAAATACATAAGTAGAATTACAAGTTTTAAGTTTTGGAATAGTAACAGCATTAACAATGGTTTATCTAGGGGACGAAAAGGGATAATTTTACTGGCTCTGCTAAACTTACATTTTAAATAAAAACCAAATTAATAAAATAAATTACTTAAACAGTTTTTATTATTAGCCCACTCTACCAATTGTATTTGTACCAATTTGACATCCCAAAAGCATTCTGAAAATTTCGCTGAAATCTGTTGGTTTTTGACTGAGTTATAAGCTTTTATTTTAAGTCTACGAGCATAGTTTTTAGTAAGATATGATTTTTCGTTTGTCAACCTTGTTTAAATTTTATGTTAGTCTAGGTAGTTTAATCACTAATAACACGGGTTTTAATTTTGTTTTTAATGATTGTTAAATTTTCATTCGCCTGCCTGTTGTTTTGATTAAAAATTAGGTTATGAAAGTTAGTAGGTTATGAAATATAATTGTAAATACACACATTCCAGAATTTTGTAGTCAAATTATTAGTTTTTTAATTAGTATTTAATCAACAAGAGGAACTGTTTTTCTAGTAATCTGCTTCTGAAGTAATACTATTTTTGCACAACACATATCGCATCCGGCGTACCCAAGTACTCCAACCAAAATCAGGAAAAACAGTCCGAAGGGCTCATCGCATTACAATAGCATGAGACCCGCTGGGCACCGATTTTGGGCCGGAGCTCCAGCTATACGTAATCTAGTAATTATACGTAAAAAATTCATTAGGGCATTTTTTAAACTATTATCCAGTAAATGAAGTCTGATATCCTTTATTTAAATATAGGCTATGCTTTAAAATAAAAACTAACCTCTAGATTTTTAAGAATATGAATTCTGAAAAATAAAATAAAATGATTATATTTGTCGTGATTACTTTATTCCAATCGTAACTTTCGATTGGGATAAAATATTATCATTATTATTTTTGTCAAAATGAGTAATGAGTAAAAACTGAGTAATCAGTTGAAAAAACTGTTCAAAAAGTTGCTAAATCATCAGATATTTCAAATGAAATGCGAGTTTTAGTAGTAACAGTGTTAAATATGCAAATCATAACAATGTCTGTTTTTGTTAACGGTATCATTTTTTTATTTCATCATACTAACTGTAAATAAATTGCATTGTAATCGACAAATGAGATAGAGAAAAACTCTAAAACAACAAAAACGTCAGAAGTTAGCGATTCGACTTCAACACATGAACGGATTACGCTACTAAAAGAAAAAAAATATTTGCTACTGAAACCAAGATATGAGGGGAAATGAAGAAGACTTATTGCGACATCTAAGACTTTTCAAGTGATGTCCCAAGAGTAAAGATGAGAAGCGAACACAAAGTTCTGTGTGCACGGTAAATAGTTTCAACAGGCAATCATCAATAATTGTGACTCCAGGACAGATCACACGCTACCACTCAGACACATACATACAATTGGAAAAGCACTGAACAGTTTGATTCCCCAGGTGGAAAAATACCAATTATACAGTAACCGATCAATCAATGCATTTCAATCGGCCGCCGCCGGGAAACTGATCGAATTTGGTCGAGTGTAACGAACCGAAGAAATAACGCTGGGTACATTATGTACTCAAGATATTGTGTTCGCATCACCTTTCATTACTAGACCATAATCAATTTTAATCTCTACCCGTGAATAACGTTTTTTAATTTCCGTTTTACTATTTTGATACACCGTGTTTTTTTTATTATTACTAATAATAATTATAAGTTAAGGTTTTTGGATACCGATCGTTTTTTATTTAAAAACAACCCATTTTTACTCTAACAGTACGACAAATGATACGATAAAAATTCTAAAAGCAGCAACCTGTCAACTAAGAGTCGGTGAGGTTACTTTTTTGAAATTTCGTTTCCTTCGACCCCTAAATAAAGATCTCATTTTTGATGATTTGGACTTATTCAATCAACTTCATGAAAACAGTGACCAACCGATCTTTGTTAACATGATGCTGCTTTTAGATCTGTTAGATACAACATGATCGTGAGCGTATTGCTGTATTTGTTTCTGCTATTTTAGTACAATTTACATCCTATCAATACTAGTCGATGAATATAATGTTGGATAATTAGCGTATCGCGGTCAATAAGTGGATTACTAAAGCCGACGAGCGTGACTCAGCGTCCTACCACATACAAGCATATAAATACAGCCAATCACTTCATAGTCGAATCTTATACGCCGGCATATGCGCAACGCAAAAATGATCCATATGTTGTGGGGAAAAGGTTGATTAACGCGCCCCCGTCGAGTACAAACGAGGAGCTAGAAGAGCGGGGCACTCGTGCAGGTTTGTTCAAAAGGCTGGTGCATCTGCCACAACACATGTTAGCTGCCCAACACGATACTCGTTAAACGCTTTGGCAGCCCACTGGGGTGCAACTTATATTTATATTATATGAAAAAGAGGTCCGTCGATTTATACTCACTGATCGATAACGGGCACAATGTATGTACATATTGAATATTGTTGTGCGTTAAAGTCGTGGCTTAAGCGTTTAATCCATCCGTGGATTTGATTCAAAGGCGTGAACCAGATGTTCGGTGTTCATATCATCCGGTAAGTCGTTTTTCCATATAAAGATTTTATTTTGACTGGAGAATTTGAACATTTTAATTAAAAACAGCGTTTGTAAAGTCAATAAGGGAATCGATCAATTTTATCAACATTGTTAACCATATTTTTGAGCCTAATATTTATTATAAAAATTTATAACATGAGAAACTTAAGATAATAGAATTTTATGAAGGAGTATATACACTGCTTTCATAAAGTAAGGAAACAAGTCAAATGTTACGAACAATAAAAACCTTTTTTCCTACTAAACACCCTTCATAGTAACTAAAAGACTATTTTTTTTTTTTTAATTACGAATCTCCAAATTACTATTCACATGTTTAACAATTTGTTTTAATTAAAGAGATTAATTAATAGATTATAAAAAAAGTATAATTTTTTTGATCAACTTATGTTTTATACCTCACGCCTTTCATTTCATATTTATTTGTTTACTCATCTACTATTTGAAAAAAACATGCAAATCGTACAAATATTAATATTGAATATGAAAATATTAACAAATTTGATTTGTTATCCTTAAATATTCTTCTAACATCGGTTGAAAATATTCTTTATAAATAAACAGATCTCAGTCGTGTTTCAGTTAATAGATACATTACTAAAATGGTATTCATCTGAGATTATAAAAGTTTTAATCAACACGTGATAACAAAAGATGGTATAGGTTCTCAAATCGTTTGGAATGGATGCAGGATAAATTATCATTGCTTATCCAATCTAACAATAATCAAATTTTTTGTCACTAGCATGTTAAACTAAAAGCCATTTAGTTGCAAGGGACGTGTTTTTTTAACACAGTCTAACAAAGTACGAATGACTATTAAATTGACCTGCCATTCAGTATTGTTTGAGGGGTGACGACCCTTCGTAACAACAACTAACCACCCCTTGTAAAGGGCCACCTGTTCCCGGCAAGTGCGATTTATTATTGTCGTTTCTTTATATATTCTTATTTAATCAGCAATCTTTTATTGAAACAAATCTACCAAGAAAGCAGTTGATAAATAAAATCTATAAGATAGAAATAAATAGTAATATAAGTACAAATAAAACTAGTAAACTTAAATTTCAATTTGATCATGGGAATTCCTACAAGTTGTGTTATTTTAAGTTAACAAAACGGGTTTGAAACAGAAAATCGTTTATATTCGTATTTTTTATTTTTTTATTTGTTGTACCATCAAAAGATCTCATTTTTTTTAAGACGATATTTTCAACTTTAACATCATATTTATTAAAATATTATAATATATTAAATAATATTTATTATCATCAATGGTTTGTTATTACCATAATTTAATGTATGATGGCAATAACAATATTAAAAAGACAAAAATACGAAAATAATTGTTTAAAAGTTTCTGCGCCAAACCAACTATATATACATTTCAACATGTCCTGAGTTTTAATAAAAATTATTCAACGATAGAATAATTACACATTTTTTCACCGTCCAATAGAATTTTGATTAAGATGTTTAAGATGATAATCGATGAAAAAATGGAAAAGAAACTAACGAGATAACGTGCACACACGCTCTCGTTGGCAAAATCTCCTAAGAGTGACAAAGAGGTACTATTCCTAATATGCATTTGCTATCAGCGTTCATCTGGTATAATAAAGTTATTATCGCGCATTGTTTCCTTTTAGGCAGAGGATCTGTTCAAACAGAAGAAGGTCCGGGGACCATTAATCAACGAAAACGGTACCGTCTTGCTGTACAATCTGCATTTCAGCCTCATTAACTTTCATTATATCATATACATATACACTAACAGCTAGTGAAGATACCACGGTTGTTGTAGTGTCTACATCCTATGACTACAGCGACGGTTTGTATGTATGTCAAGACAACGCACACCCAAGTCCCTACAGACAATGGATTTAACCCTTAAAACATCCCTTGGAACGCTCACTAGAGCACGTGTATATACATATACATTAAATATTAAATACTTCTGTGTGTTTCCGCGTAATATTCTATTATCTCTTCCATCTGGTGTTTGAATATGCCCGGCCAGACTTTCTCTCGACTCATTTACCTCTTTCGGTCATTAATTCACTCATAACTGACTACAGTAAGTTCTTTTGTTTCTAAAACTTGCTTATTCCGATTTCCCTACACACGAGGCCTAAAACCAACATCTAAGGTATAAAAAATTAATACGTACATTAATAGTGTCAAGTAAATAAGATAGTATAAAAATAATAGTTACCTTTTAAATTAATTATATACATTCGGAAAATCAACTCTTTTGCATGTCAAATGTTAATTATTCGGTTTTACAATGTTGACCATCATAAAATTGAGACAAATGAAATCGAAGTTTGTGGTGTTTAGCCATATCACGGAGAACTATAAACCCAAAAATCAGCTCAACTAATAGCATAAAATACATAATACCTTGAACGGCCATTTCAACGGGCGAAGAGTTCAAAACAAAAAATAATGTTTGTAAAGGAAGCTGCAAGATTAACGAAAACATCCAAAAAGCAGCCAAATCCGGAATCTAGATATATAATAAAACATAATTATCTAAATAACTTATTATGTACTTAATTATATAAAGAATTATTTTTGATAACAATAATAAGAAAATTGTAAATAATAAAGTTTTATAAATGAGCTTTGTTATTTAGTTACAAACTCGTAATTTTTTTTTAATATGTTAAACGACATCGATATATATTAAATAGATTATCTTTTTATGTCATAAGGGTGAAATTTCCAATGAAATTATTTCTCTAGATAATAAGATAAATATTATCAATTATAAGGAATGCTAATCAAACTTGTGTTCTACTCAATACTTTTCATTTGTAAAGCGATAAATAAATCGTCACCTCCAAAAAAAAGGGTCGTATCTACATATTTTTAAATTTTCTGATTATCACATACTCTGTAAGAACACATTTTTTCTACATTCTCATAAAACATTTCGTTCTTTTTACCCATTGCATCAGAAATCATAATACAAAATAAAATATTACATAGAAAGATATATCGTTTAAAACTTTAAATAACTCTCCTGAACAATTGTAAAAATGTTAGTTTTTTGTAAAATATATTACACTTTATTAAACTAAAATAATATAAATTCTAAAATCACAAATATGATAGAATCACATAATTTTTCATTACGAAAATTTACCTTTTCTTTTAAATTTCCGTGTACACCCAAATAAAGTCTAGCGCACTCCAACAAAAAAATTAAAATTAACGATACCATGAGAATTGTTTGAATCAACATGTTTAAACATTCAAGCTGAAAAAAGTAATCACTATTAAAAATATCTATTATATTAGATGTAACGAAAATACATATGGCTGTTGTATAAAATTTATTATTTGTTTAATCAGTTGGTATTATTTTGATGTACATAATTAATTATATTATATGCTTTTATCTGTTACATGTGATAGTAAAATGTTTATGTGTGCCTTTTATTGTAATCAGTCTTGCCAAGCTATCTTAACCAGACACGTACGTTTTTATACTATAGTTTGTGTATTTAAAAATAAAATTGTTGATATCATTTATTTATTAGAATATTGCGATGAACCTTAATTAAATACAACGTCGCGTAAATCAAAACTACATTGGTCACTTCCCATTTTTACCTTTGTTAATAATTTGTTTTATTCGAAACGTGTTTTTTGTAAAACACAATGTCCGAAGCCAACACGGATAATATGATTATTAACGAAATACATACAGAGTATCGGGCACGAGTTTTAAAGCTCTTCTATTCTGACGGGTGAGTCTAGAACAATGGTTTAAAAAAGTAGAATCTCAAATTGAAACCGCAACTATAAAGCGACTCGACATTTTACCATATCGTTGCAGCAAAAGAGGGTGAAATTTCAAAACAAGTAAGCAATATAATTATTACTCCGCCAACCGCATTCTACAATTAAATCCTAATCAATTTTTAATGGTCGATTTTTTTTTTCTGAATCCAAGTATGTCAGTTGAAAAAACTTATCTTAAGACATCAATTTAGGCGTTCGAAAACCAATTCTGTTACTTTGTGAAATGCGAAAACCGGTTAACTTTCGGTCAAAGTTTAGAAATACTTCGGCTATAAATGCACCGAACCAAATCAAAACCATTTTATCTACGAGCAATGACTCTTAGCAATCTAAACACTAAGGTGGACAAAATAAGTGAATTCGTAAAAGTGATTTTAAATGTTACGAATAATCTTCTCCGAATATTCTCCTAAAAATAGTAGCAGAATTTCTAAACACAAAAATCGCTCACTTAACACAATTTATATTGGTACCATTTAAAATTCGGCACTCTGGCGACTAAGTGCGACGAAGTTCCAGTACTGTCAACGGGTGAAGTATTGCGTTAGTATTGGCAACTAACCATTGGCTAACCCATATTAACCTAGTACTGCCCGATATCTTGTGAAAAAATTTCACCAAAGCGTTATGCTGTTCTCTTTCAACTATTCAAATATGCTTAACGCTGTTAAATATAGTAATTAAGTATCACGTGACGTAGTCTGTTATCAATCGCTCATAAAAATTTGATATCGTATAGCGCATAGTAAAATACTGATTTTTTCATGCGATTGATTTCAACTAAACGATTAACTACACTTACTATCTTCTATGTTCTAACTATACAGTAATATGAAATACTATTATAATTTATTTAAATGCGACTTCACGCTAGTATATATCCGGTACATTTGCGTACTGGAGTAAGTGTGATACAGATTGTGTAAGTTTTATTCATTAACAATATCATAGTTTAGATTATTTAAGAATTCGTCGTTTATTTTCGTTTAAATACCCAACCAATATAAATTTCAATAGATCAATTCAACATGAAACTTGAATAAATAACATTAAAAAAAATCCATAACTTTTAAATTAACTATTTAATTTATTTTGTAATTGTGTCAAATAAATTATTTCATCGTTTAATATGAAAGAATCGCACTTATTTTAATATTCCAGTCGAGCTTAGAGATATTCTGAAAATAGAAGTAATTAAGCCATTCGGACTTTACGAAATTTTAATTATGCCATATAGTCTACGCAACGTCGCATAATCATTTCAACGATTTATTAATAAAATCTTAAGCGATTTAGATTTTCGTGATCTTAATTGGATGATATTCTTGTCTCCAATAAGTCGGAGTCCGAACATCTTGAACACTAAAAATTTAATTTATAATTCTACAAGACCATAATATTACTATCATGAATCGTTTTTCGGGTATATAATTTTAGTTATGGGTGTTAAACCAAATCCAGAAAAATTATGGTTATTAAAAACTATCCTAGACCAACAGCAGTTGAACAATTACGCCGTTTTTTAATACAACGCTCGTTTCAATAAACTGCTAATATATGCGTTAAAAAAAAGAAAAATTGTAACCGAGACAAACTAGACAATTAGATTTTATTATAAATTCAATTATATTCAATGCATTCAGTAAGAATGTTGTGGCCATTATGTTTATCGCACATAAAAATAATTTTTTCTCAACATTAATAAATTATAACGATTTAGCTATTTCTCAAAATAAAGATAACGAACTAGCAAAGTGATTAAAATCCAATATCATTAAAAACATTAAAATTTAAGAAAATTACTGTGCCAATGTAATACATTTACCAAATATTATAACATGTTAGATCGTAATTCATAGGGAGTTTTATCAACAAGTATTCAATAAGTTACATAGACTATCTCATTCTGAGATTTGTGCTGCTATTGACTTAGAACGTCAATGATTTGTTTGGCCACCATTTAAAAAATATTGTAATAAATAAACTAGATCATACATAGCATGTCAGAAAAAAAAATACAGACACATGATAAGCACAGACAGTAATTTTCCATTACTTATCGCACGATTCTCTCACATTAATATTGACTTAATTGGCCCACTTGTGATGTCAATAGGTTATACTTATTGTTTAACAATAGCTGACCGTTTTTCTCGTTGGCTGGACGCTTTTCCATTACCAGACATAAAAACTGAAAACTATGTAAACAATTTTGGCGGTTAATTGCACGTCATTGCGTTCCTCTTTATTTCATCTGACCTAGACAAGCATACATACCCCTAATATTTGATATTTTTCTTTACTATTAGGCGTATACAGATCAGTTTACATACATGACAGTTTACCACTTTGCTGAAAATAGGTTTGTTGAGAAGAAAAAATCCTTAAATACTTTTAGGCTGTAGAGCAGTGTTAAACTGTAACTATATTCAGACTTTTGCCTGTAGTAACTATCTATGGTTCCACACTTACACTCCCAGATAATTTTTTGCATTCCTCTAAGGAGATAGATCCAATCACATTCGTTGGTCAACAAAAAAATTTTATGAATGACTCACGCCCAGTCTTAAAAGAAAATTTTTATTCATTTAAAGTTAAAAATTTCATACATGATTTTTGAGAAAAAAAAGAATATTAAGATCAATAGAATCTCCACGCGATAATCCTTTAAAAAAATAATCATAGATTGGCAAATATTTAAAGCTTGAAATTGATAAAAATACATTTAATGTATTAATAGACAAAGTCTAACCATCTTTTTCAATTAATCTATAAAAAGAGGGAGGCGAAAATGTAATCTCATTCAACAGCCCCGGCATTCAACATTTAGCACCAAGTATAACTACAGAGCAGAAAATTCCTTATTTTAGACGAGTACGTTTTGTTAAAAAATTGCCACGACTTTCTCGCTAGGAAGGGATTGCTGAGACGGCTATGGAAAAACTATTGTATGTTTAATCAGTTTGTGATATTTGCGATTGTAAAACGTTTATCTAAACTTGTTATATTTTATTGTAGTCAGTCGTGTCGAGCTATCTTTACCCGACATATTAGTTAGTGTATTTAAATATTAAATTGTTGATATTATTAGTATACTACTAATAATATCAACATTATTTATGTTAAACTGATTATACTAACCAGAAATATCCCTTGGTAGGAGGGACCAATATTATTTTACAAATAATATAAACATAAAGAACTATATAAATAATAAGTATATTTTATGTTTGTGTTATCGTATAAATTATAAAATTAAGTTCAATCAACACTTCCAATTCGCTCAACGATATTATAACAACTTTTTTATCAGCTGCAAAAGAGACCAAAACAAATTACTATACCAGTATTATCAAAATGAATAAATATTTTTTGTAAAATATAATTAGTTAAAAATTTAAATCACCTTACACAATTTTCTACTATAAAAATACTCAAGAGGTGATCTGGACCCGAGAACCCCCTGCTCAAAATTGGTTGCAACACTGATGTTATTTATTTATTATGAAATTTTGTTAGATCTTAATTAAATACATCATTGCATTAACTAAAATCTCAATACAATTTTTTGCTTAAATAATGTTTATTATTTTATTTCAGTGACAAAAGTATTAAAAAAAACAGTATAAATACCTTCAACCAGATCAAAGACACAAATGTACACAGCCAAAATGGAAAATAGATGACGTTAAAATACAAGGACATCTGTAACGGAAGACTTGAAACTATTTCTGTAACTGAAATTAAAAGTAAATATATGAACAGTGAAAATGTTTTATGTGCCAAATGAAAAAGTATATAATTCTTGATAAATGTTTTATGTATATCTTCAATTACGTATATTTTTAATTTAATAATACAATAATAATAGTTATAAAGTATATATTTGATATTTTATATACATATTTACAATTATTTTTCGCATAACAATTAATGCTTAATAATAATTATTTTAAACCGAGAATTTTCAAGTATCTGATAGTCAGTCTTGCCCGTTTATGCTTACGAAATTTTAATTCTCATTATAGTGTTATTAATATTTACAGAGGTATATTTTCATATTTAATGACAATATCAAAAAAAATTGTAATTAGTTATGTAAAATGACCACCCTAGAAATGTTCACTAAACTTTTTTATAATCTAAACAACGCGGTCATAATTAATACAATTAATTCTATATTACAAAAGTTGAATATTTAATATTTTATTAATCATAAGTAATTTAATATGTTAACTTATTTTTGTATCCACTATAAAGTTTATATATCAATTTTTTTACATTGTATAATAAAAATTGATCACTTGTGGTTAATATTATATAAAATTAAAACTATACTAAAAATACTATTCATTTAGTGTTGATAATGGTAACATTGTTCCCAAAATACGAATCCGCAATTTTTTAGTCGTTTAATATTCAAAGTTGTGTTATAAATTAATATTACACGATCTAAGTACGTTACTTTTTTCTTTTTACATAAATAAATAGAAGTGAATTAAGAGAATTTACTTCAAGATAATCATGGAATATTTGAATAAAACTAGTATTTACATAAAGGTAAACACTGAGGTATATTTTTATTTTTTTAAGTAACTTACCAAATGTAGGCCCAATATGTTGATCGGGAGAAATAGGTGGAAAAATCCTATCAGTAATACTCATTACAGTATGTCGCCAAATATCAGTAGACATCTTAATTATAACGTTATTAATATATTAACCAAAAGCCAATGATTATTCAATTTTTACTCTTAACACAAAAATTACAAACTTTACATTAATCTATTTTAGCTATTAAATTTCCCTAGCCACAATATAAGATAATTTTTTTCAAATTTCAAGCTCAAAAAATTCAATTATAACTTATGTTATGGTTAGGGTTTCCATGACATTTTTTATGGTTATTTTATTTTTGGTTCCATGGATATTGTCTACTAAATATTTATTATGTCATGTAACGGTTATATTCATTATCTAAATCGGCTCTTTTCTTTATCATTAAATTCGAGTAAATTTATATAGAAGTTAATTCGATTTTAATCTTAATTATTTTATGGAATTTCTTAGTATTGAACTATTTTATTATGTAATAAGATTCTGATACTAGAATGTACTTTAAACTGATTTATTACTATTAATATATTGTTTTTATATGCGTAATCTTTATCATTGATTTTGATTACTTAAATTGATGGTAGTTTTAATATAAAAATGCAACAAGTCATTATTTTTTTTGCTTTCTTATTCATGATTGTTATAACGATATCAGCCAAAAGGACTACCAAAAACTTAAAGCCAGACTGGGCTAAGAAAGATATTCGCGATTACACTGAAGCTGATTTAGAACGTTTATTAGACCAATGGGAGGTAATTTGTGGTAATCTTAATTAATTATTAGAATATACTTTTTAATTAAAGTAATAAAGATATATATATATATATATATATATATTAAATGTATGTTAAAACGTTTTTTATTGTATCACATTAATTGGACCTCATTCAATCCTGCAAATTATTTTAGGAGGACGAGGAGCCTTTAGAACCAGATGAATTACCAGAACATTTAAGACCTTCTCCTAAAATTGATCCTACTTTGGTAATTTTGATTTAAATACTTTATAAAACAAAAAACTTCTAGATTTTTTGTTTATAAATATTATTTTCTATAATAAAGTAATAGTAGAATTATTTAACAAACTAACTTTTACTCTCTTATTACTGATTCTTTGATCATATAAATATTTAATTAGTAAAACATATTTGTTACTTTATTTAAATGCATTTCATTTAAATTAGAACCTATTATTTAAAAAAATTTAAATGTTTAAAAAAAGTAGATATAAATTTATCATTCTTACTATTTAAGAAAATTATACATAACTATTTTAAATAGCTTTATCTATTTTTGTAAATTTATTTAAAAGTTAATCATTTGTTAAATGAGTTAAATGTAAAATTTGTATGTTTTTGTTGAAATTTACTAAACTTATAAGTAATATAAAAATTAAAAACTTACTTAAAAATAATTATATAATACTATAGATAGGTGATGATCCTGATACTATATTAAAACTATCAAAAAAGGGCAAGACCTTAATGACCTTTGTGAAAGTGCATCCAAAGTATAATAAAGAGGAGTCAGATAAAATCACTAGACTTTGGCAGTCTAGTTTATGGAATAATCATATACAAGCTGAAAGGTTTGAATAATTTTTACTTAAAATAAATTTAACAAATAACTTAAAGTAAATAGATGTTTTAAATAAATAAATTGCAAACATTGTTGCTTTTTCTTAGTTTAAATTAACAAAAATTAAATAGGCAAATTTAATTATAATTACAATCATATTGTATCATATAAATAGAAATTAACAATATGTACAAAAACGTAATATGTTCATTAAATCTTGTTAAGAAAAAAATTTAAGATAGCCATAGAGTAAATAATAAGAAATAATTGGCTAGCAATATTTCTTCCTTATATTTTGTGGTTAAATTTCAAGAGTATTTCGCAATTTTTTTATGAACTTTAGCTGTGCTTGATTGAGCGCTTATAATGGGAGTAAAAAATATAGTAATATTATTGTTGCAACATAAATTTTATTACTTATCATATAATCTGTATTCGTTACTGCATAAATATTACACTTCTAAGTTAATTTAAAAACAACTATTTAGTTGTTTTTAATTTTTGGTTATCTTATTATTAAGGAAATATTGTATAAGAATATATTAAAAAAGTACTTGAATCATTTAATTGTACTTAAAAATTTGCATTATGTAAAAAAAAAGGCTTACTATTTTTCTGTGGTACAATTATTTAATGAATTATTTTTTAAAATCTTGATAAACCTATAATTCATTGTTGTTTGCAATTATCAGCATTAATTCAAGAATAGTTATTTTTTATGGATAAAATCCAATATGACTAATACATAAAGTGTGAAGATTGTGATCAACACTAAATACTGCAAATTAAATACAATGACATTAAAATGTTTACAAATTTCAATGCTTAAAAAATTTAATCACAAAATATTAAAGAAAGATTTTACTGCCCAATTATTTCTTATAATCTACTCTATAATATGGCAATTTTAATTTTTTTTTTTTATATAACTAGTATTTGTGATAGCCCTAACCTTTAACAAGTTTAAAAAAAGAATGTAATGCAAAATATTCAGTTACATACATTTTTTTTCAAATATATAAATAGATGCTTTATTGTAATGCTATCTATAAACATACATAATTATGGATAAAATATATAAAAATAATATAACTTATCTTAAGGATATAAATTTTTCAAATTAGATATTCAATTAAGTAATCTTAAATAGTAAATTTATATCAATACTAATACCCCCACATATTCAAAAAAAATTTCTTGATATTCTCATTTTTATTTAACCAATATGTTCTTTAGGTTTATGGTTGATGAGAATAGAGCAATATTTATGTATAAAGATGGATCACAGGCTTGGGACGCAAAAGATTTTTTAGTTCAACAAGAAGACTGTGTTGATGTTACAATAGAAAATCAAATATTTCAAGGTCCTGCTAATGGATTTGTTGTAAGTATTAGTATATTTAAATTGATTTTATAGCCTTTTTAGGCCAATTTAAGATCTTTAAAATAGATCTCTTAACAATCTACAATCTAGATAATGATTTGTGTGAAAGAAAAAGGATTGACAACTTCAATTGATGAGTGTAATCAAACAAAATATTGAATACTTTATAACTTAACTCTATTAGGCATATCTAATTTGATTAAAATCAAAATTTCTGTGGATTTTAAAAATGGTGATGGATGACTTCCTTCCATACCACCTAGAGTTAATACCATAAATCATATAAATTCTTTCTACTTTTTACTCTAACTAATACAATAATTGCTCATCAAAATATTTGGATTATAAATTTAAAAAACAATAAAGCTAATATGCTGTTTATTTCAGTTTAACAATAGATTTCATCATTACCAATTAATTTACTCATAGCGACTTTTTATTAAGTATTCTAAAATCATAATTTTAATAGAAATTAAGATATTTAATTGATCAAATCTAGGAATGAGTTGGGTATTCTCATTTTAAGTAAAGTAATGCCAATGTCACCTTAAAACCCTTAATTAGTGAAAAAAAAATTAAAATTTATATATTAAAAAATAATAATACAAATGAGAGATTATTACAATGGACCATTCAAATAAAAAGCTATTCTCTCATCCGACAAATATAGCCGCTTTAGCCATATCAAACCATAATAGTGTAAATAACCATTTCATTTTCAACTAGACCCCATTATCCTTTATAGTACTAACTTAAATTAATTAGATATTTAAAATAATTATTTGTAATTACACAAAAACAATATGATATATTAAATCATAAATATTGATTATAATAAAAAATAATAATTTTTTTTTCAGATGAAAGGAAACGTTGATAAAGTGGAATTATAACTTTCAAAATCTACTTTTAATTTAATTTATCATTATTAAAATTCTATTTTGTTTACATTTTTTTTTTTTACTAAAAAATGTTTGAATACTTTTATATATTTGTTATTGGATTTTTAGACATAGCAGGTCTAGGTTTAATTATGTCTAGTTTAGGTGTTCGTCTCAGGCAGTTTGGGGCTTCCCACTTTCAAGTAAATTCACTAGAATCTTTATTTTCAGGACTGCAAATAATGACAAGTCCTATAGTAGGAACACTTAGTGATCGTTACGGTCGAAAACAAATTCTTACATTATCAATGTTAATAAATGTAATATGTTATTTTTTGATGGGTTATTGTTACACATTTTTATCATTATCTGTAGTTCGGCTAGTATTAGGTGGTTTGAGTCACACAATAATGCTAGGAAGGTCATTAGTCGGGGATAATATTCCTAAAGAGCATTTAATTAGTGTTCACGGAAAAATGAATGGTTTTTTCTCCTTAGCAATGATGATCTCCCCAATTATTGGAGGAAGTTTATCAGAAAAACCAAATGGATTTTTCTATGTAACCTGTCTTACTAGTTTATTATGTATTTTGAATTTGAGTGTTATTATTTTATGTGTGCCCAATAAAAAAATTAAAAACGGTAATGCCAAAAAAGGTATCTTCAGTCAATTAAAAGAACTAAATTTTACTGTTTATTGGCCAATATTATTTATGAAATTTACATGTATGGCATTATTTTTAACCTTAATGATATCATTCAGTATGGTTCTAAGTGAAAATTATAAACTTAGTCCATCTCAAATTGGATATACTATTGCTTTTAGTAGTTCAGTTGGTGTAGGCACTGGATTTTTTTCAGCAAAATTAGCATCTATATTTAAATCGTATAGTATTTTCAATAAATGTTGTTTCAGTTTTTTGTTAATATCATTTGGACATTTAGGCTTATCATTCCAACCAAATCTATTATATTACTTAATTTTCACAATTCCAGTAGGTATAGGAGGGACTCTATCTGATGTGTTTTTAAATCAATTATTATATGAACAAAGTAATGAAAATAATCGAGGATCAATGGAAGGTGCTATGGCCAGCATTTCTGCCATATCACGCTGTATTACTCCAATGGTAATAGGTATTACTATGGATAAATATGGAGCTCAAGGTGTTTACTTATTAGCATCATTAACTGCTATGTCTAATGCTGTAATAGTTCAAATATTTAACGGTAAAAGAAATAAAAAATACAAAAAAAAACTTTAAAAAATTGTTTTGGTTAAGTTTTAATTTTTAATGTTATCTACTTATTTTAAATATATTTTTATAGTATTTAGTTTATTTTTCATTTTTTTTTATTTTATACAATTTAAGTTAAAATAGTATTATGTTAATTAATATTATGTCAATTAACCTATTTGCCAAAAAATACTTTTTACTGGTTATTTTTCTAAATAAATGGATATCAAAATT